AATAATCCATTAAGCAATATATTTTTTAATGTAAAAAAAAAAAAAGTCCTCTAAGGGAACCTCAAATCATGTTGCTTCATGAGTCTTGGAGGTGTCATTCCTGGTTCTTAATTAGGAATCAAATGATAGTTTATTTTTTTTAATATTGTAACTGCTGTTATTAATGTTACATACTAAAACTCATGCACTTGTTCTGTTCTGATGAGTTAGAGAATCCTATTCAGGATACTACCATGTGGTAAGCTAAATAAAATAGTGGAAGATGGTCTTAGAGAGTAATGTGGCTAATTCTACATGGTTACTTTCTTTTCTTTTCCTGTTGATATAAAACTACATATCTTTATCTTTCTTAAATTCTCACTAGCAATAATGCTGGTAGCAACCAGAATTTTGATCCCAGTGAAGCTAAACCTAGTACACCTAAGTGTACTAGGGGTACTGTAGTATTCAAATTGTGGGCACTGGTGTAAATTTGGGTTAAGTTGAAAGTGAGAAGTAACCTGTAGAGCAGCGGTCCCCAACCTTTTTGGCACCAGGAACCGGTTTCGTGGAAGACAGTTTTTCCACGGACCAGGGTGAGGGTGTGTGTGGGGGGATATGATGGTTCAGGCAGTAATGCAAGCGATGGGGAGCGGCAGATGAAGCTTCACTCACTTGCCCGCCACTGCCCACTTGTGCAGCCCAGTTCCTAACAGGCCTCAGACTGGTACCGGTCCATGGCCTGGGGGTTGGAGACCCCTGCCATAGAGATTATAAGGTTACCCATAAGAGGGAGGTAATTAGGTTATAATAGGTAGGTGCCCATTTAAAATTTATTTATTTATTTTTAATTGTGAAATATACATAGCATAAAATTTACCATTTTAAAGTATACAGTTCTGTGGCACTTAAGTTCAGGTAACCCTTGAGTAAATTGGGGATTTACTCTAGTTATAGTCCCCCTATAACTTTACAGTCAGCATTCTGTATCCCTGGTACCGCATCCACGGATCCAACCAACTACAGGTTGTGTAGTACTGTAGTATGTATTTCTTGAAAAAAAAAAACTCGAGAATAGGTGGACCCTTGCAGTTCAAATTCGTGTTGTTCAAGGGTCAACTGTACATTCACATCGTTGTACAACAATTACCATCGTCCAACTCCAAAACTTTTTTCATCTTGCAAAACTGAAACTTCCTATCCATTGAACAGTAACTCCCTATTCACCCCTCCTCCTAGCCCCTGGCAACTATCTTTCTATTTTCTTTTTTCTTTTCTATAATATATATATACTTTTAATTTTTATTGGAGTATAGTTGCTTTACAATGTGTTAGTTTATACTGTACAGCAAAGTGAATCAGCTATACGTATACATATATCCCCTCTTTTTTGGATTTCCTTCTCATTTAGGTCACCACAGAGCACTGAGTTCCCTGTGCTATACAGTAGGTTCTCATTAGTTATCTATTTTATACATAGTATCAGTAGTGTATATATGTCAGTCCCAATCTCCCAATTCATTCCACCACCACCCCCGCTTCCCCCTTGGTATCCATACATAAATGTCTGTGTCTCTATTTCTGCTTTGTAAATAAGATCATCTATACCAGTTTATTCAGATTCCATGTATACGCGTTAATATACAATATTTGTTTTTCCCTTTCTGACTTACTTCACTCTGTATGACAGTCCCTAGGTCCATCCATGTCTCTACAAATGACCCAATTTCGTTCCTTTTATGGCTGAGTAATATTCCACTGTATATGTGTACCACATCTTCTTTATCCATTCCTTTGTTGATGGACAGGTTGCTTCCATGTCCTGGCTATTGTAAATAGTACTGCAATGAACACTGGGGTGCATGACTGCTTTAAGCACCTCATTTGAGTGGAATTATATAGTATTTGTCCTTTTTTGCTTGGCTTATTTCACTTAGCATAATGTCTTCAAGGTTTATCCATGTTGTAGCATGTGGACTTTCTTTCCTTTGAAGGCTGAATAATATTCTCTTGTATGTGTATATACCAAATTTATTACTTATTCCTCTGTCCACAGACACTTGCATTGCTTTCACCTTTTGGCTATTGGGAATACTGCTGTTATGAACATGGGTGTACAAATATCTGTTTGTGTCCCTACTTTCAGTTCTTTTGGGTATATATATATTCATAAGCGGGATTACTGGATTATATGTTCATTCTAGGTTTAATTTTTTGAGGAACTGCCAAACTATTTCCATAGCAGCTGTACCATTTTACAGTCCCACAGGACAAGAGTTCCAGTTTCTCTATCCTGGCCAACACTTATTTTCTGGATTTTTTGATAGTAGCCATCCTGATGGTTGTAAAGTGGTATCTTGTGGTTCTGATTTGTGTGTCTGTGGTTCTGATTTGCATTTCCCTAATACTAGCGATGTTGAGCATCGTTCCTTGTGTTTACCAGCCATTTGTATATCTTCTTTGGAGAACTGTCAATTTGAGTTCTTTGCCTATTTGGGGGTGCCCATTTTTTTAAAATCAAGGTAGTAACCACAAGAGCTGCTATTACTTTACAGAACTACCAGAGATATATCACTTTTAATTGCTAACTAATACTGGTAGCAAATAAGTAAGAACTTTAGGAAAATATTTGTCCCACATATCTAATCAAGTTTTGCCTGTCCTTCCTTTGTGTGTTTCATCCGTCTCTTTCTCTCTGTTTCTGTTAACATCATCCTAATCCACTTAGCATCATCTATGCTACAGTTGTTTGTGAGTTTTTTAAAAAGGGTAAAAGCGGGCTTCCCTGGTGGCGCAGTGGTTGAGAGTCCGCCTGCCGATGCAGGGGACGCGGGTTTGTGCCCTGGTCCGGGAAGATCCCACATGCCGCGGAGCGGCTGGGCCCGTGAGCCATGGCCACTGAGCCTGCGCGTCCGGAGCCTGTGCTCTGCAACGGGAGAGGCCACAACAGTGAGAGGCCCGCGTACCGCCAAAACAAAACAAAACAAAAAAAAAAAAAAAAAAAAGGGTAAAAGCATTTAGTAGGTGCTTAATTTAATAACTGATATCTTGACACTGGGCCCAGTTCTACCAGAATGGTAAGAATAGATGGTCATAAATTTCTAGTAGGTTTGTTTTTCTTTACCTCTTTAGCTCCTCCCCCTCAATTCAACAAGGATTTATTATGAACAGGGTGTAAAATCTGAGTTTCTCTCACTCAAACTGTGTGATAGGGGGCAAATCACACTAAACTCTTCTCTATTGGATGACCTAAGTAATCTCTTAGGTTTCTCCTAGTCTTGTCTAGTAAATGTCTTTATGATTCTTGTAACTATTACCAGCTTTTGGATATTAGATGCCTGAATTATCTGAGAACCACATTACCCACAATAAATCATGTTTTTAGATTCTCACTAAACTGTTAGAGTGAGAGATAACAGTCTAACTCAGATCACTTTCTTATTTACTTTTACATATCTCCTTGGGCTTCTTAGATCAACCTAGGACCTAAACTGGAAACCTTTTAAATACAAATATTTAGTTTCTCTACGAATTAGCCATCACTAATAAAGCAAGAATATTTTGAATGGTTAATATCGGGGGTGGGGGTTATTTACTTCTAAAAAGTAGTATTGCATCTTAACAGCATTTAAAAACAAAGGCTGAAAAATGCTGTACTGTGTACTTTTAGTTTTTGATTTCTACTTTTGAAGTTTTATAAATACAAAAAACATCTCACACACCTGAATAGGGTAATATATATTCCAAAGCTAAATATAGTACTTTTTTTGATTAGCTGCCATTTTTGTTCATAACCTCTGTTCTCTTCTTGCTTCATTGAGAATTCACATTAAATTGATTTCAAGTGGACTTCTAAAAGATATGAGTAATTCTTTAAACCAATTTAGTTAATTTTAAGAAATAATGTTATGTGATAGGCTAATGTAGATATAATAGCAAAATTAAGTGAACTATTTTAGATAGATTAAATTTTTGTATTTAATATTTATTGCTGAGTAATTTTTATAAATTGTCCATCTCTTCTATTCCTGCTTCTGTCACTTGTTTGAAAGTCAGTAGTCACTTATTTATGTATAGTCATTTTCTAGGATCTATAAATTTTGTTTTGTTTTTTGTAGTACAACCTTTATAATAAAATTTGTTTGCTTTATGCTCAAATTTTCTAATATTTTAAATAACTTAATTTCTTTTTCTCAGAGATCGAGAAAGTACTTTTAACGTTGCATTTGTCACTGGGAAAACTAGTTTTAATTTATATTGACCTTTTTCTCCTTTGAGCATTTAGTCTGTGTTCAATAAAATGTTGATGACTGCTCTTTAGAAGACAGCTGTACGAAATAAAGTATTATAAATATTCAGCTTTCCTTTCTAAGCATTGTCACCAACAGCTGGGCATCCAGTTTAGCAGAACAGATTTTGCACAGAGAGAGCCTGGCATGTTCCTGAATCAGTTTAGTGAAGGAGACAAAAAATAGTTTCTTATGGATTGGGGACTTATAAAGACATAGAGCATCTGTTCCTCAGTTAAGTCATAGTCTGGTAGCACTGAATCATGTTTAAAGCTAGAATAAGGTGCAAAACTTTTTCACCTTGCTCATACTTTTATTTTAATAGCTAGTGTATTATTTCTGCAAATAATATACTTTCAACATCTCCATTGAAGGTATGTAAATTATTTTCCTTTTATGTATAATTTTTGTTAGTGGTATTTTAAAACACACAAATATATTAATTTTTTACTAAGATTATTTTATAATATAACTTTAGTGTTTGAATTGTATAATGGTGCATATATATAAAACTACATATATAAAAATCCATCTAAATATTTAATTATGATTTCATCTTGATATATGCTATCAAAAAATCAGTTTCATCATTGTGAAAATTGCTTTCTTCATAGGTATTCTACTTTAGTTGGTGAAAGTAACTTAGAATCTTTGTTTATATAGATTACTCTTAAATACTTGGCTACTTAAAGCATATTAAATCTAAGATGTCTTTAACTATTTTGTTTGCAGTGTTAAAAGATCACTGAAATTGGATGATCTGTTAAAAGCAAATGTAAGTATTTACTTATGAGTTTGTAATTTCATAATAAGATTGTGTTTTTAATTTTTTGACAGCTAATTTACCCTTATACTAAATGTAAAAAGTATCAAAAAAACCCACTGTGACATAATTGTTATTGGTACACCATTTTCTACATATAAAATTTGTAATCTAATATATGGAAATTCCTGGCCAGCTTGAGGTTTTTATTTAAAGGGCAAATTATTTGAAGCCTTAATGAAATAATTTAGTAGAAATTAATTCACTATTTGTAGAAAAAAAATGCTCTGCCACTTAAATGCAGATAAATAAAGATGGAACAGTGGCAGTGCTTTAATCTGCATTCTCTAATCTGCTAAAATGAAATAAAAGCATTAACAACATTTTTATATCAAAAAGATAATTACCCCCTCAGCTACGCTGGCATGAATAAACAATTAAATACTAACACTGTAATAAATTTCACTGTGGTTGTCACAACAAGAATAAAATTGTACTGTTGCTATTACTTTTTGTAAATCTCATCATAGCACATTACCAATACCAGCATATCATGACATATGCTAGTTTATTATCTTTTCATTACCAATATTGGATCTAGATACAGACACTAATACTGGGATACTTATGGCCTTAGTAATCTTAAATGCAAGTAAATTGGTGAGAAAGTAAATTAAAACAAATAGCTAGTCAGTAAATGGGCTCCTATGTGAGATCCCATATGAGAATGCCATTTCAAGAAATGGGTTTTATATGGAATTTCTCTTCAGAAGACTCACTGGTATTTAACAATTTACCATTTTTAAAAATTCCTAGATGCTTTTTTTAAAAATTTAAACAAAGGTGGCAGAATACTGCAATGCCACTAAAAAAATCATTAGCAGTGTAATTAGCAATTTAGAACACTATTATCCAACTTGTTCTGTACAGAATGCAGCTGTGACTGTAATTTTGCATCTGTTTCTTTGGTCAGAATGGTATTTTGGTAGATGAGTAGTCCAGCTTGAAATGAAATACTGTTCTTTCCTGCCCCAAAACTGTTCTTTGGGAGGTGGTAACATCATTTGAATGGAAGAGAATGGCCATTTAGGAATTCATCCTTTTCATAAAGTACAGTTGTCGTCATGGCAAGCTTTCTATCCATTTTTTCTCCAGATTAGGATGTGTCAAGGTAGCCAGTGACACAGCTAATATCCTGTATTAGAAAAATACATTGTTATGTTTGGCCCAATTCTGTACCTTTAAACCAGTTGACTTAGCTTGGTACCACATGGCCACCAACTGCTAAATGCAGGTTCCTAGCATCCTAGCCTGGGCCTTCAACATTTCTGTTTTCTAACCTATTTCTAATATTTATTATTATTTCTGATATTTTCAGCTTTTGTATCTTGCCTCATAATTTGTTTGCAGCTCTTAGATCTGACAGCTTTGGCTCTGGTGCTAAATCTAGGCTTCTCTCTTTAGCTACATTTATGCTTCTATCCATTCCCAGTAACAGCTAAGCCCTGAAGCAGCCTGGTTCCCAAGAATCTGCCTACATGCCAGTGATCCCACTGAGGCTGCCTTAGTCCGTACAAAGGAAAATTACCTATAACTCTAAGAGCACCTAATTGCTGTGAAGCTATAGAGGAACTAGTAGTAACTTTGTGGTCATTTTGCCTTACCCATATGATGCTGAAGGAAGAAGGCTCTGGTGTCCAAGGAAAGGAGATGGCTTTTATATGCCAGTTGGTTGAAGTGGAGCCTGTTCATTCTAAACAACTGGTGTTTTCTCTCCCAGCAATAATTAGAACTACCAAATACCAGTGTTCCCAATGTGGCTACAGACCTTCATGGAGATTAATGCTCCATGATGTTAGGGCAAGTCTGCAAAAGTAATTTTCCTTATGATTCCCCTAATAGGGAAAACAGAGGTATGGATCATTCCCTGTTATCTTCCTTTAATATATATAGAGTATATACTATGAGTACTACTACTTGCTGAACCTCTCAAATTGTTGGGGGGTAATGAGTGATGAAGGTTTTGATTTATCATTACCTGCAATATTGGGGTTGCTGAAGTTATTGCCCTCCAAGCACTGTTTCTAGATGAATTTTCAGAAACAAAGTGGAATTATTTATTACAAACTGTTGCCAATGGCAGTCCAGATGAATTTATAGGGACAGCTGGCTACCTGGTTATATACCTAGCCAGCTTGACCTAATCTCTTTCAGGCTACTTCAGAGAAGGAATGGGAGAAGCAGATGCTGCAGATTGGGAAGGGAAGGCGCATACTTCCTACCAAGGCCAACTCAATAGGCATGCTGCTAGAATGAATGCAGTGCAGGTTTGGGGGAGGTTTGCTGATTTGGACATACATACCCAGTCGAAATTATTCCCTTACCGTTAGTAGGATAGTTCTAAGTCTGATTATTCCCATGGCCTAACCTTATCTCTCTGAGATAAGGCTTTTACTGACTCCTGAAATTAGAAAGAACTTGGGACTTCAGGGCATTAGGAAATATTATAGCTCATATTCTGTAGGCTTACTTATTGATTTGGCTCATCTGCTCCTTTTTCTCCCCCTCCCTCCCTCTTCTTCCCTTCCTTCCTTACCTTTTTATTATGGAAACTTTCAAACATACACAAAAGTAGAGACAATAATACAGTGAACTACCATGTAACCATCACCCAGCTTCAAAAATTATTAACATTTTGCTTCATCTATTTATATATATATATGTACACACATATTAATGTATATATGTGTGTATGTATCTGTATTTTTTTTCCTGGAATTTAGCAAATCCCAGACATGTTATTTCATCAGAATATTCTTCAGTATGCATTTCTAACAGATAATGACTTCTTTCATAACTATAGAGCCATTATCATACCTTACAAAATAAGAAGTAATTCCTTAATAAAATCTTTTTAAAATTATTATTTATTTATTTGGTTGTGCCAGGTCTTAGTTGTGGCTCATGGGCTCCTTAGTTGCAGTGCATGGGCTCCTTAGTTGTGGCATGCAAACTCTTAGTTGCGACATACGTGTGGGATCTAGTTCCCCGGCCAGGATCGAACCCGGGCCCCCTGCATTGGGAGCACAGAGTCTTTACCACTGCACCAGCAGGGAAGTCCCAATAATATCTTTCACCCAGTTTATATTCACATTTCTATAGTTGCTTCAAAATGTCCTTTTACAGTTGGCTTATTAAAATCAGGATCCAAACAAGGTTTACACATTGTAGTGGTTCTTAAGAACCTTGAGATTTTTTTTCCCCCAACTCCTTTTAAATCTTTTAAAATCTCACTCTTTTTCTTGTAATTTATTTTTTGGAAAAAACTGAAATATTTTTTCCATATTTCACATTCTAGATTTGGTTGATTGTTTTCTTGTGGTGTCCTTTAAGTGATTTCTCTAATCTTCATATTTCCTATAAAACTCATAGTTAAAACTAGAGGCTTGGTTAGATTGTGGTTCATATTTTGATAAGAATGCCTCATAGGTAGTCTGTGTAGTTCCTGTCTCATCACCTCAGGAGGCACAAAATGGTCTTGGTTTTACCAGCCTGATCCACCCATAATAAAATTCTCCGTCAATCTTTTCTCCTAATTTTTTTTAAATGCCTTGATGATTATTTTATAGATTCCTTATTTCACTACAGTTATCAAATATTGATTCCTTTTTTTTTTACCTTTTGATTTTGGAGAATTTTGATTATGGAGAATGCACTGCCCATTACCCAGCTTCAGTAATTATCAACACAAGTCTAATCTTATTTCATTTATATTCCCACGCATACTTCAGTATCCCCCATACTAGATGATTTGAAGCAAATCTCAAACATCATCCATATCATCCTAAATACTTCAGTAATTATTTCTAAAAGATAGACTTTAAAAAAACTATAATAGTATTATCAGGGCTTCCCTGGTGGCGCAGTGGTTGAGAATCTGCCTGCCAATGCAGGGGACATGGGTTTGAGCCCTGGTCTGGGAAGATCCCACATGCCGCGGAGCAACTAGGCCCGTGAGCCACAACTACTGAGCCTGTGCATCTGGAGTTTGTGCTCCGCAACAAGAGAGGCCGCAACAGTGAGAGTCCTGCACACCGTGATGAAGAGTGGCCCCCGCTCGCCTCAACGAGAGAAAGCCCACACACGGAAACGAAGACCCAACACAGCCAAAAATAAATAAATAAATAAATAAATTTTTTTTAAAAAAAAGTATTATATCTCTCAGAATGAATTCCTTAATCATCAAATGGACATCTTTGTTCAAATTCGCAATTATCTCATACACTTTGTGACAGTTCAGTTCTCTTTTTTTAATTTTAGCGTTTTTTATTGAGATATAATTCATGTAATATAAAATTCATAATTTTAAAGTATACACCCGTGGTTTATTATATACTCATTACATTGTGCAGCCATCACCACTATCTGATTTTAGAACATTTCCATCACCCCAAAAAGAAATCCATTCCTATTAGCAGTTAGTCTCAATTTCCTCCTCCCTACCCCCCCAGTCCCTGGCAACTAATAATTTATTTGCTGTCCTTATGGATTTGCCTATTCTGTACATATTATATAAATGGAACGGTACAATATGTGACTGACTTTCATTTAGCATAACATTTTCAGGGTTTATCCATGTTGTCACATGTAACAGTACTTTATTCCTTTTTATGGCTGAATCATATTCTTTTGTATGGGTATATCACCTTCTGTTTATCCATTCCTCAGCTGAAGGACATTTGGGTTGTTTCCACTTTTTAACTATTATGAATAATGTTGTATATAACATTCTTGTACAATGTTTTGTATGAACATGTTTTCAGTTTTCTTGATTACATACCTAGGGGTGGAATTGGTGGGTCATACGGTAATTCTAACTTTTTGCAAAATTGCCAAACTCTTTTCTACAGCAGCTACACCATTTTACATTCCCACTATCAGTGTATGAGAGTTCCACTTTCTCCACATCCTCAACAACACTTGTTATTTTCTGAATTTTTGATTCTAGCCAC